ATAGACTCTTTGCTGCCACCGTTGCAAGGGATTTTTTAAATTACTTTGCTTTTTTCAGTTTTGGGTATTTTAGATTTGGTCCTGTTAAATATGTTTTTTAATGTGTTTGTTGGCTTGTGGGCTATTTTTATTTTTTCTTTATTGTAGCAGTCTGATTTCGCTAAGCGCTCTGATAAATGGGGGAAATATGTTATTGATTTAAAAGTTATAGGCTTTTCTGGTATTCGTTGATGGTTTGCTAATTTAGATCTTCTTACTAATGTTTTTATTATGTGCTCCGGAAAAACATTGTTTTTTGATCATATTTTTATTTCATTCTCCATCTCTTTATGGTACGTTTCATCTGATATTTGTAGCATTCGTCGTATACAGCTCATTGCTGTATTCATTATCATCGTCTTGGGGTGTTTAGAATGGAAGTTGATGATTCGTCCTGACAAGAAGCCAACAGTAGCACTTTAACTTAAGTTGGTTTCCTCTTTTGATTATAATGGAGTCAAGATAAGGTAAAATTCCGTCCTCTTCTAGTTATATTGTGAATTTAATATTTCTGGCAAAAGAATTTAGTGCGTCAAGTGTGTTTTGTATTTCATTTTCATGTATTATAGCAACAAATAAGTCATCAACATATTTTGAGAGCAATCTCGGAGTTCGTCGCAATTTCTTGATCGTGCTGTCCAAAAGTTCTTCCATTATTATATCTGCGATGACTGGGGAGTCAGGGGATCCCATCTGCATACCTTTTAATTATGTGTATATCGTGTCATTAAAGTTGAAATACCTAATTTCTTGTATACAAAATTTTACTATTTCCATGAATATTTGTTTTGGTATCTTTGTGTGTTCTTTTATCATTGTCCATTTTTCTCGTATTACGTCAAGTGCTAGTTGTATTGGTATGCTCGGAAAAAGTGAGACTGCGTCAAAAGAAACTATTTTTTCATCGTCACAAATAAATGTATTGTTTATCCTTTCCTTGAACTCCAATGTATTCTTTATATTGTATGCTGAGTTCGCCGTTACGTTTTTTAATATTTCTACAATATATTTACATAGATTGTAAGACGGCGATCCAATGGATGAACATATCGGTCTTAGAGGTGTTCCCCCTTTATGTATTTTTGGGAGTCCATGAATTCTTGCGGGTAAGGCCGTGTTTTAGGTTAGTTTGTTCCTTTCGGCCTTTGAAACAAACCCCATTTTAAAAAGTTTATCCACTAAACTGTTGTTTTTGTTTTGTAATCTAGATGTGGGATCCTGCCTTTGAATTCTGTATGTGGTTAAGTCATCTAATACATTTTACATTTTGTTATTATAACCGTCCGTTTCCATTGCCACAGTTTTGTTTCCCTTGTCAGATGTTAGAATTTGAATATTGTCGTTTTTCTGAGAAATTTTCGTGTTCGCTCCACTGTGTCTAATATTGCACAATCCATTGCACTTTGCCTATTTGTTGTTGTGTGGTCTTTTATTAATAACGAGAATTTGGTACGCGCCTCCTCTTGTTGTCGTTGTCTTTTAGCGTCTGTATCATGTCCTCCCCATCAGCAATATATTGAAAAATAGGAAATCTCTTATTCTCGACGGGTAGTGCGAACTTTGGTTTCTTCTACAGCAACGCTTTTATGTCTGGCGGGAACTCCACTTTGGTTTTGTTTACAAACCAATCTTCTTGTTTATGGTTGTCGACAAATATGTTATTACGTTTGTTGCGCAGTCCCTCAAGCTTCAGTTCTTGTCGCCCCTTCAGTATTGTTGTTGGTTTATTTGCGACATTTCTCTCACTCTCTAAAAATGCTTGCAAGTCATCTGTGCTTAGCTGTTTACTTAATTCTGTTGTTATTTCTTCCATCTGCTGTTTTCGTCTTCTTAATATGTTGTGTTTATGTTTAATAAGCAGGCTTAATATTTTTGTGTGAAAGTAATGTGTATGTCTGGCTAAAGTACTGTCTATGTTAGGATGTGGGTCACAGTCGAATACAAACAATTTATTACATCTAATCGAATTTTTGATAAAGTTTGGAATAAGTTTGGTTTTTATGCATTTTAAAAGGAATTTTATACTAGCTTTTAGTTCTACCAGTTTTTTGGATGTAGCTTGAAATTTGTTGATTACTGCCTTTGAGTTGTCATAGTTGTTCTTTATTTTCGCATACCCCATTTTGTTGCTATATGCTTACGGCGCACAGTGTTTCGACTATATGGAGGCAGGTAGAAAAAAGTCATGGTGACAGTTGGTAAAAAAAACCGGTTTGACTTAGAGAGGGAATAGTAAAAGTCATAAGTACCAAATTTTACATTATTTACTCACCCCCCTTCTTCACGAACGATACATTTCCAAAAAAAATACGGGAATGGGCGCGATACCGACTAATCAGTTTGGTTGCATTTGGCGCTGAACCCATTACAGAAAGTGTTTCTTTTTCAATTAATTATCTAAATGTCGTGTAATATTCAGGTGAAGGTATTTATCATTTATTTGGTATTTACCTATTTTCTTACCAAAAAATTTACTTTGAAATGTATATGCTAAAGATTATTAGTAAAAAAAAGAGTGAGTACCGGTCCGTCAGGTCTTGAAATTAGACTAATATTTTAGAGAATTTTATGTAGTTTTCGAATATATAATTTGATCTTTGCGCGCGACTTTGCAAATATATGTAATTTTTGATTTTCTTAATTTTTGATTTTCAGCTTCTTTTTGCATAATTTAGCGAAAAGAATTTTTCAAGCAATGAAAAAATCTCACCAGATATTAAAAAAAAAGCGAGTATTGACACCTAAGTCATTTTATTGTATAACCTTTGTTTTCTGAGAGTGGAAAGCAGGAAACAAAAATTACCCAAAATTCCATCACATTT